GTTGTTTGTCAGGGAGATTGGGTGTCCCTTGGAATGCAAATATTTTGAGGATCGAATTGGTGAAAAATAAGTTCTCCTAATTTCCTAAGTATTTTCTTCCTATATTCCTAACCATTTTACGGCTTCTTAAATGGATACATGCATTGTAAGCTTGTTTTCAATTTACAGGATTGGAAGGTCAATTTCGGCAGGACCTGCTATTTAGATGTCTCAATGATAATGGGGTTATCATGTTTTTCCATATTCAGAATTAGGTTTATGATCATGGCAAAAATTGAGAAGATAGGATCTCAGTCTAGGGTTTGTTCGTTTTAGTGTGGTTTGGTGACTCAGATACATGCATGCGTGGTTGAGTTCGGAAGCAGGTTAGAAGGTCTTATCACACTATCTTTTTGTTAATTGGTGTCGATATAGCCATGTTTCAATTAGTGATTGGGGTTAAGCTTGAGATTTGCCTAACTAAAAGATTGTTAAATCAAATCAATATTGTATTTTGTGCGAGATTTCTTTGTCAATTGGGAGGTTGGGTTATCGCCGGACAACATACATTGGGCGGATAGATTTGACTCAGAATAAGTTTTCCTAGTTTCCTATAATTTTCAGTTTTATGAAATTCTCATCTTTTTTTATTTCCTTTCGTTTATATGGAGATGTACCTTGCAATTGTATTATGAATTTACAGGATTAGGGTGGTTGATTTGCGTCAGACACGGCTATTTGGTGGTCTATGTCTTTGGGAGGTTTTCATCGAAGTAAGTTTGTGGGCAGGACAACCATTCAGCGTAGTTGTCACTCTTTCAGGATTGGCGGTGAGAAACGGGTACCTACGTATTTGGGGTTCGAGGACTTTGTGGTGAACGTTCTTTAGGCGATTGCAGAGGATTTATTGGTATTTAAGTTTTTATCGAGGCTTATGTGTGATTTCTCCTGATTTTGTTCATTTTCTGACAGCGTTGGAACTTTACGTTGGTTTTGTTGTTCCTCAGTATGATTGGGGTTTCCTTAGATGGCATTTATTGAGTGGTTTTATTTCACACGGAACAAATTTTGTATTCTTATGGTTTTCTGTTCTTGATTTGCTTACCTTTACTTTTCCTTTCTTTTCCCTTTCTATACAGGATTTAGACGATCTATTTGAGCTGTCATGGCCATCCCGATGTCCTTGTCAACGGGGGGTTATATTAAAATTTAAGTTTACAAGCTTGTACGATCATTGGGAATCTGTATATTACAGGGTCTTAGTCTTAGTTATAATGTTTGCTTTTAGGTTTGCGGTGTGNAAATTTAAGTTTACAAGCTTGTACGATCATTGGGAATCTGTATATTACAGGGTCTTAGTCTTAGTTATAATGTTTGCTTTTAGGTTTGCGGTGTGCATCCGATAGCGTGGTTGCGAGAACTGGATGGAGGTTTGAGGGTTTTATTGTGCCCCTTTCTTTTTTACTGATTAGAGTGGATTTGACGAAATTTAATTCAATGTTAAGTCTGATATCTTACTGGTTATTTGTATAGAAGTGTAATTTTTTGTATCGGTGTTGAATCTTTTTGATGGTTTTCATATTCACCAGGAGGCTTCAATGTTCGTTGGCTTTGAGATATTTAGTGGAACTATGAGACGAACAATAAGTTCTTCTAGAATCCTGTCTTTTATGTTCCCAAATGTCTTTTATCTTTCCATTTTTTCTTCAACACGCATTGCAAATGTGTTATGATTCTACAGGATCAGGGCGGTTGATTTTAGTTGGAGGTGGCTACTCATATGTATATGTCATAAGGGCTTTTTTATGGTCATGAATATTTGACTTTGTGTTTACAAACATGAAGATCATTGGCGAGAGTTATGTAAGATTTACTTGCGTTGTCTTTGCTTTTTGGGTGGCAGTGTGACATTGATAGAAAGAATGTTGAGGTTGGGCGAAGGTTTTTAGATTTTGTTACTCCACCTTCATTTTGTAAATTAAAGTGGATCTAGTGATCTTTAAATCAGTTTTAAGCTTTAGCTTTACTTTCTCTCTCTGAATTAGGGGCTTTTATGTTCTGCATTGAATCTTTGTGTTGGCTTTGTTGTTCATCAGGGAAATTGGATGTTCCTTGGCTTGCATATATTTGGTGGATCCTTTTCACGAAGAATAAGTTCGCCGAAATTCTAATTTTCTGTAATATTTTTTACATGGATACATGCATTGCAAGCTTGTTTTCAATATACAAGATTAAAAGGTGAATTCGATCATGAACACTTCACAAGTGGGGGGGGTGTATAATACCAATTCAAATTTAAGTTTAAAAGCATGACTGGCATGTAACATACATAGTATCCTAATCTAGCTAACATTCATTTTAGGCTGGCGGTGCGACTCCAGTTCTAGGGCGGCCGAGAATGTGTGGAGGTTTGAAGTTTTTGTTACACTTCTTTCCTTTTGTTAGTTAGAGCCGATTTAGCGATCTTCAAATTAGTGTTGGGACTTTATATGGAATTCTGTCTAAATAWGGTCTTCTCAAATCACAGTGAATCCTATTGTTGTTTTTCTGATCAATTGGGAGATTGGGTAATCGCTGGTTTGCATATCTTTGGTGGGTCGTCTTCATTCTTGATAGGTTTTCTCTGTCTCCTTTGTTTTTTTTTTTTTTTTTTT